TATTTCCTGAAATACTGGCCAACACAATATCTAATCCACGTGCCACTTAAACATGGGAAGGGAAACTCAGCATTTCACTAATTCGCGCTTAGTTTCCAAGTTCTGGGTGGGAAGACCCCACCCGGAAAGGCTTTGGGTCCTCTGGAGGCCTCTTCCCTGGCCTATGTCTTCATTCGAAGTAATCACTTAGACATGGGCTTTAATAAATACGTCTGGGAACTGTCCTTATGTTCGGTAAATATTGGATTAGCTTTTCAATGGCCAGGCTCTTGAAAAGGCTCCAGAAATCCACACCAGGTCTCAACTAAGCCTAACAGTCAATAGGTAAGAAAAATAAGTGATTTTTTTCCTAGTTGGGGTGAGGGGTGTTTAAAAGGGGGTTCCTACTCCTTTCAAGTTATCTGATTCTACTAAATATGACAGTAGCACTAATTAGGATAAGAAGGAGTGCCCAAATTTTGGATTAGCTGTAATACCCACCATCTCTGTTGTGCTCCTTTGGGCTGAGCCACTTTGCCCACAGGAGAATACATGTGGGTTCTGTTTTTATTTCCACAGTGCTCAGCATAAACTCTTTTGGTTTAGCACATATTTTTTGTTTGGGGTTGCTTATGGAAGTTTTTGACCCAGTTATTGGCAAGGCACATGGCCCATAATATCTCCCACTTGCCCCATGCTAACTCAGACAGCTTAGGTGAGGCAAAACATGCCCCCCCCCAACAAATCCCTTGGAAGCTCTGCTCTGTCTCCCTGTTACCGAATTTTGCTGGCAAAAGGATGCTGGAGACATCAAGAATTAAAGAGGAAGTCCCTCTCTCCTCCAACATGGGGTAAGGGGGGAAGGTGGGACTGGTAAAAGAAGTTTATGAATTGGTTATCCATCACACCAACACACCAGTGGGATTTCTGCACATAATTTGAATGACATGAGGGTGGTATCTGAGTGGGGCAAAGTCAATGTGGCTCAGAACCAGCTAGGTCTGAGATCCACCTAGGCCCAGGATTAAGGAGATCCTTGGCCTCTCCAAACCTTTCCTGCAATGCCTGCAAAGGGGGCTTAGTGCTCCAGGGCATCAGACTGGTGCAGGAATCAGGGGACTAGGTTTTCACCTACCCTGGATCCCAGAAGCCCAAGAATGAGGGGGCATCCCTCAGGCCCTGGGCAACCAGTTTCTTTCTGAGCCCCTCAGTCCTACGGATTCCATGCAGGACTCCCAGGTAGAAGAAGCCTAGCTGCCAGCTCTGATGAACCTGAGCAAGTAAAATGCAGGTAATAAGCCCTAACACTGAAGGCCGGAGCCCTAGAGTTACAGCGGATATTTGGTAGAAAGAGAGTGGGGGGTAGGGGAGTAGGGAGAGGAAGAGAAAGAGAGAGAGAGAGAGAGAGATCCAGCTTTCTGTGTGTCACGGGGCCTAGGCGGGGCAAGTGCTCTCTGAATCCATCAAAGACAGGGGTGGCTTTTTTCCACTCCTCCAACCTCCTCCCCAATAGATATAGCACGAATTTTTAATGCGTCTTCCTTTCACAGACAACAATAAAGGGTTTGAAAGCCAGACACAATTTGGGTTTTGTGTGGATCCATCCTCGCGCTCCCTTGGCCCAGCTGGCCATATGGAATCCAGCATGGAGCCCGCGGATGACAAAGGGACCCAGTGACAGGCCCAACAAAACCCCAAGGAGACTTCTGCCTGACTCTGGGATTCACTGCCCAGGATAAGCGCGCTGAATGGTGCGGGGTGGATGGCTGGGTGGGGGCGGGAAGGCGGCCCCTTCTCCCTCTTTCCTTCTTGGTCCCTTGAGATCCATTCTCTGCCCCTTTTTAATATGCACGCCTCTAACATCCCCAGCTCCCAGCTCTCCCATTGTGCCGTTTTGTGTGTTCCGCTATAGATTGGGCGAAGATAGAGTGCTGAAACAAACCTGGCGCCGGGTGCACTCCAAGGGCACTGGGGTTAGAGCCACACAGGGCTCTGCGGGGGCTTTTATTGACTCCAGGGGGACCCAAGGACAGAGAGAGGCAGGCGCCAGGCCCACCTCCCTGCTGCTCAGTACATACCCAGACTGCAGGCCGCCAGGCCTGGCCACTGCCCCAAATGTACACACAGTGGAAACCTGCAAGAATTTGGACTTTCCATGCCACCTGCTTCTTTCCTGAAAGCATGGGAGTTCCAGTGATCCATCTTGCCCCTTGAAGCCCTGGGCCAAGAATATAATCTTGGGGCTGTGCCTCAGGCCTCCTGACAAACCCACTCCAAGAGGCTCTGAGCTCTCACCTCCCTTCCCAAAGGATTTGGGGTTACAGGAAAGTTATGAGTGGGATGCTCAGTGGTTGGCACCAGGACAAGTTGGGTATTGGACTATTGCAGAAAAAGTGACTAGAGGAGAATTCTCCTGGCTTTTACAAGCAGCAAGAACAGTTTCCAAGCTAGTGTGGGGAATAAAGGGAGACTTTCCAGAAAAATTCTTAGGAAAGACTTAGGAAAACCTGGATGAACCCACATGAACCTGGAGATGGGAGAAGACATGTAGGAGCATATTAGCAAGACTGCCGCACCCTCAATTATCCAGGGCTGGTGCGCAATTTGGGAATAACATGTAATCACCTTCCAGGGTGTGCAGCGCTGAGTGCTATTGACACGCAGACTTGGTCACACGGATAATCATGTTTGCTTTATATATTGAATTAAATCTGATCAGCAACTAGAGGGAGTGAGAAAGTCAGCTGGGCCTACTCTCTTTGCTCAGACTTCTCGCCTCCTCCTCCGACCCCATCCATCCACAAAAGTGGAGCTGGGGAAGGTAGGAGACCTACACTTTCCCAATGCGGCAAACTTTCAATGCGGAAGGCATCTCAGAGCGCCCCTTTGGCTCTGATCTACACAACCCCCAGTAAGATAGAATAGAGACACCCCCTCTTCTCAAGTCTGCATGACCCCTGAGACGCTCCTCCGTGTGGGCAAGAATGCACCAGCATGCACCAAGGAGATCTCCCTGTGACCAGGGTGGGATAGAATCAGCTGTCTACCAGAAAAGGACAGACACGATCTTCCTTGGGCAAACCCAGGGGTGTTTGCTCACTTCACGCTCCTCTCACCCCAGTCTTGGAGGCTGAGCTCACCACCCCATCTTCCACCCCCTACTTTTCAGCAAGCAATCCACCCAGCTTCACACCAAAAAGCTGGTCTGGGAGACTGCAGGCAGCCAAGTGCTAGGAGATGACCAGGATGAAGATTTCCCAGGGCAGGGGAATGGAAATCCGAAAGGATGGGGGCGGAAAGGAGGAGGGAGCCGCGGAGAGCAGGGACTGCCACCGACTACAAGCTCCTTTACTCTTCCAGGCTAAATCGCCTAGAGGAGGCACAGCACCCACTTCCTCTCTGACGCCTCTCTTTATAGCCAAAGCCTAGAGTTTTTCGAAAACCATAATCCGCTCCCGAGCCCAGTCTTGGGAGCAGCCTCCTAGACCACCGCAGGTCAGTGCATTTTGAAAAGGGGGTGGGGGTGGGAATAGAGAGAAAGCCGACCTTTCTCATCCTCCATGCCCCCCCCCTCCGCCCCTGGCCTTCTCAGCGCGAGGTAAATCAAACATAACAAAGTGAAAGTCAACGAGTGTAGTGGCTTCAACAGCTTCTCGGCCTGAAGGAGCCACTCGTAGATTTGGGCGAGCGAGGGGGGCTTGCTCCCTTGCCTTTGCATTTTCCAAAGTCACTTTTTCTGCCAAAGCCAGAACGTCGCCGCCCGGGATTCAGACAGTGCAGGAGGTCGGTAGTGAGGCATCGGTGAAGGCGGGCGACGTGGGGTTTCGAGTCCACGGCTCTCAGGCCTGAGGCCAAGTGCTCGTTCCCCGGCCCGGGGGTCCGAGATGCGGGGCCTGAACCGCCCGCCCGGGTAACGCTGGTCGGGGAGCGTCTCCAGCTTCCCGGGCACCCCTGGCGGGAATCCGCTCCCCGTGCAGAGGAGAAGCGCGGGTAAGAGAGGTGCAAGTGGCTGAGCCCGGGTCCTCGCCCGAAGCCTAGGCCCGACGCAGGGCGACAAAATAGGACAAACGAAAGGGCCGGACTTTTTTTTTTTTTAAACAAAGGATTTTTATTAAAATTCTTATTTAAAAAAATTGAAAGCTTTCAGCGCCCGGCGCTTTTGGGGAACCTCATGAAGCCACTGAGCTCCAAGTTCCGGGACTCAGGACTCCCACGATGGGGCATGGGACTTCACGCCTATACGCTTTCCCTTTTTTTTTTTTTTTTATGTTTGAGAAGTGTTTACACTGAGCAAAATAAAGAACATAAGAAAACAGAGGTAATCAAACATAAGCAAACCAAAACAAACCACGGAGAAAGGAGTTGGGCCTTTAGAGAGAACAGACCCATCTCGAACGAAGGTCATTTTGGCAACAATCACCACCGATATTTACAACGAAAGGCAAAATCTGCCACCAGTTGTCAGAACGTTTACATGGCCATAAATATTTAGCATTTTTTTTATAAAAGGGGGGCAATCCTCTATATTTTAAAGTGTTTTCCACTTGCTTTAGAAGAAGACGGTTGACAATATCGCTACTGACACACATATTTAACAAAATTCACAAAAGCAGGGGGAGGGGAAGGGGAGTTGGCCTTTTTCTTCTCCTCGAGTGTTAACATTGGGTCGATTTGGTCCTCGCTGCCCCGCCCCAGGCAGAGGCAAAGAAGTGAAGCTGCTCAAAACCATTCTGTAAACACCACTTATAGTTCAGCCCTCTGCAAAGGTTCAAAAGCAGAGACGGACTGGGGCAGCGCAGGGTGGATGAAATCTGCCACTCAAAGGAAGCGCAGGCACGTTCCTTTGAGTGGCGCCTCCTCTACGGAGCTGACAGTCAACTCGACTCCACGATGATAATAATAATAACAATAAAAACAACAACAACAACAACCACCTTAAGGACCAAGTCCTCCTCGCCTCTGCCGCTGCTGCCGCCAGGGTGGAGCCTGGCCTGCGGCCACCAGTTTCAGAGGGGCGGCGCTCACCAAGTCCATTGCTGGGCCTGTACCAGGGGGTGTGCTGTCGGGTACTGGGGAGTGCCGGCCGAGCTGTACTGGGCGTTGTACTGCATGTGTTGCAGAGACTGCGCGCTGTAAGCCGAAAAGGGAATGCCGGTCTGGAAGGTGGCGGCTGCCAAGTCCTGGGCTTTGAGCGCGTGGCACGGTTTGCCGTCCCTGACCAAAACAGGCACGGCCACCCGGCGTGGCGAGGGCAGGGGCGTCACCTCCATACCTTTCTCGGCCCGGGCGCGCTTCATCTTGTATCGGTGGTTCTGGAACCAGATCTTAACCTGCGTGGGTGTGAGGCGGATGAGGCTGGCCAGGTGCTCGCGCTCGGGCGCCGACAGGTACCGCTGCTGCCGGAAACGCCGCTCCAGCTCGTAGGTCTGCGCTTTGGAGAACAGCACCCGCCGTTTCCGCTTCTTGCCCGCATCCCCCCCAACGCCCGAGGTTTCCTTGTCATTGTCCGGTGACTCGTCCGCTGAAGGCTCAGGAGACTTGGAGCTCGAGTCCTGGGGCGCCGCTCCGGCCGCCAGCCCGTGCACTGTGGAAGAGACAAGCACATCACACTCCGGGATGCAGCACTAGGAATGGGCCGGGTCCTGCGCGCGCGGATCCTCCATGCGCCAAAGGCCCTTTACGCCCCATATCCCAACCCTACTGCCTTCGCCTTGCCCCCCTACTCCAGCCCTGCTCCACGCCTGTCGAGCAGTCGGCGTCCACCAGGAGAAAGAGGAGAAGCTGCAGGAATGGGGATTCGAGGCTTGTGTTTCTAGGGGCTTGCACCGGGTGCATATCAGAAGGAGTGGCGCGCTGAGATTATCGCGGGTTAAGGGATCCTGCCTCCTTAAACAAATTTCTTTCCGGAGAAACATGGACAGATTAAAAAACAAAAACGAAACACCCTACAATCTGGGCATTGATCGGCGCGGTCATTAAAGGCAGGTTTTGGGGGGCTTTCGTTTCTTGCTTTTGGACTTTTTCAACACCCCCCCCCCCCACACACACACAAAGCGTCCTCTATGGTTGGTCACGGGGCAGGGAGAACTATTTATACCAGGGCCACCTGGAGCCTCCCCCACCCCCGGATGCTGAGGCTTGCTGGCTTGCTCCACTGCTCTAAGGCTAGTCTTTCCCTGCTGTACGAATGGCGGTGGGGGAAGGGGGGGGGGTGGCTACAGCAGAAGCCATCAGTCTCGGTTTACTTCTGTAACCGGCCTTGGGAGGTATTCCCTTCTCCTGTTCCTCTTAATTTCTCTCTGAAAAAAATACCTGAGACCAATTCCTTTTACAGGAGTACGAGCGCTTGAAGAGTTACGCCATCCTAAACAAGTGTTAAACATCTTTGTAGAAGCACAGGGCGAGGGATACAGGCTTCCATGTCTCCTTCCCCTTCCTCTCCACTGCGTCCAGTGCTGCTGCCACAGACGTAGAGGCGGCCACGACTAAGACAGCCAAGTTTCGCTACTTACGGGAATACTGGAGGCCCTCGGTGCTGGCCAGCCAGCGTGTATATGGGTTGTCGCTGCTGTCGTAGAAAGGGTTCTTCAGGGGCAGGCTCTGCACGGTGTCCAGGGCGCCCTGCTCCAGCGGCCCGGCCCTCTTGGCGGGCTCTGGCCCCTCGCTCTCCTCCTCTGGCTCTTCGGCCACCGAGCCCTCCTCATCGTTGGTGTCCGGCAGGTCCAAGATGTCCTTGACAGAAAATCCCGTCTTTGTGTTGGTCAGCGACATGTCTCGGGACCCCAGAATTTATGCCTCAAAGTTGTAGCTTCACTCGGTCAATTCTTGGCGCTCCTCAGTTGGGGCGGGGAGGGGGTAATGGGGGAGGGATTGGGGGAGGGGAAGGGAGGGGGATGGGCTTTAATTACTGATATAATTATTTTTTTTTAAAAAGAAAGAACTATGGGAAGGGGCGGGATAAAAGAACAACGCAGCGCCTATCTCTTCTCTGAAAGGACGCAGAAATGAACTCAGGGAGCTGGGTGGCCTGAGTGCTCGGCCCTAGTTTGTAACTCCAGGAGGTGTGCCAAGGCGGCGTCAGCTCCGGCTCCAGGGCCCGCTGGGCGCTCGGTGGCGGCTGGTGACAAGGAAAAAATGGGCCATTGCCCGAGCGATCAGTCCATATAAGGCTGGGCTCCACTCGCGAACCTGGGAAGAGGGGGAGGAAGAGAGGGAGGGAAATTGGGAGGGAGGGAGGGAGGGAGGGAGGAGGAGTGAGTGAGGGAGCGAGAGAAGGGTGGAAAAAAGGGGGGTAAGACATTAAAACCCAAAGGTTGGACACGTGTGGGCGGGTCTTGGAAGTCAAGTGGATGAAGACAGTGTTTGCAGATTTGAAATTGTGGGTTTTGGGGAGCTCCGCGCTGTCAGCCAACGGCCTTCTAGAGCAAGATGAGAGGTGTAACGTGTCAATTAATTGCAAAGACCGGCGGATCTTTTTTTTTTTTTTGCCCGGTATTTACATACAAAGGAACACAGCGTCGCTCGGGAGTCCACACACTTGAAAGAGCCGTTTTAACAAATTGCATCTTTAAAAAAGCGGGGGAGGAGGAGAGAAAACAAAACAGAAACCGAGAGGAGGAAAAAAAATTCTCCATAATATCCACAGGTTCCTATCTCCCCTCCCCCTCGCACCCGCCCCCAGCAAGCCGGAAAATAGGCAATTTGTGGCACCTTTGGAAAGGGGGAAGGAGGGGCAGGCTGAGCCGCGGAAATCTCCCCTTCCCGTCGTTGGTGGCTCCCTAAACAAGATCCGGTTCAAATGGCAAGAGCCCAACTTCTGTAAGCCTCCTAGGTCAATATTTTGGTTGAGGCTTAAGGATGAGTACTAGAAATGACAAGGCAACTAATTGATTCTAGTTAACACCGAAAGAGCCTGAAAACCGAGAAGAGGGATGGCTGAGGCTGGCCGATGCCACCTCCAGGCGACACCCCCCACCCACCCTTTATTTGCTAAAGATTTATTTCCCTTACTCCACCTCCCTCTCCATCTTTTTGCGCCGCAGAAGGGCTGCGCGGTCCACTTGCGCTTTGCGAATGGTCCGGGAGGAGCTGCGTGGGGTGGGGGTGGGGTATCCTAACTTAGGCGGGGTTGGGATACAGGCCCGGAAGCCAGGGGAATCCGCTGGCTCTGTTCTTTGGGTGGAAGGGGGTAGGGAGACTGTCTTGCAACCTTCTTGCCCCCTATTATGTCACTCTCTTCAGCCCCTCCTTCTCCATCCTCCAGCAGTGGTGAAAAGCGGGAAGGGAATGGAGGTGGGGGAAGTGGGGGCTGGGGAAGCTGTCTCCAGGCTGGGTGAGGACTCCAAAAGCTACGGAGGTGGGGGTCCCAAGTCAGGCGGATGATGATGCGCTTTCTCTTCCAAGCGGGTCCTTTAATTTTGTGTCCTTTTGGACGCCCCAGGGACGCATTTCGAGGACAAGATCCAGGCTCCCAGCTCGCATTAGGTGTGGGTAAAGTTCCCAACCTCTCGCCAGCCTGGGAACAGAACTTTCCTGGGACAGCACTCTACTTTGGCTCCGAACTTCTTACCCCTCCCTTCAGTTTCGGGGGAGTGGAGGAGGCAGTTATTGCTACCTGGTGTGTGTCCACACTCTACACAGCTTCAGGAAAGAGCTTTGCCTGGAGGCAGGAAGGACTAGACAAGGCCGCGCACTGGAGTCCCGGACTCCTCTCCCTCAACCCGGAGCCCAGGCTGCCCCAGCATCGGCCCTGCTGAGTGTGAGGGCGCCGCGTCATTCTCGCATGCACCTGCCGTCGCCGCTGCGCCCCTGGGTTGCCAGCGCCCGGAGAGAGTGCCTGTGCCCGAGCCGCTCCGTGGCTTTCTTCAGCCTGCACTGCCTCTCTAGTATGTGACGTGGGTGACAAAGGCTCAGGTTAGAGCGAGCTCCTCGTCGGCGCGTCCTGGGTGGTCAGACTCCAGCAAACACAAATACAAACCGATTGCTAAGCTGCGGACAATGAACGAAATGTAGACAAATGTCCTGCTCCCGTTGGAAGCCTTTGTCCCTGCTCGGTTTTTGCATTTATTTCAGTGGTGAAATAATACATGATTGACGCTCTCTTTCAATGTGTCCTAACTGTTTGGAATAAATCTAAGGTTGTTCCTAGTTGTCATGGCATTCAACCCTTTTCAATGGACTATCTCTTCATTCATTTCTGAATCCGGCTACAATATTAAGGAAACCCCTTCATGTCGACGCTCCCCATTCCTCTCTTTTTCTCCCTACTTTTTCTTTGCTGCATTCCCCCTCCTTCCTTTTTTTCCCCCTTGAAAGAATTAGAACTGGTTTGAATCGTGTTCCTCGAACCCATTACTTTTCGTGTTTTTTCCCCCTGTCCCTTTCCAGTCTTTCTCAGCCTCCTTCCTCCTTGTCGCCCCTTCCCCCACTTTCACGTGGGAGCTCTCTGCCCTGTCAGTCGGAGGAGGGAAGTTGCTTCTCCAGAAGTTGGGGGAGGGGGTTGGAAACAGAGGCCCGTGGGCCTGCTGCAGCCATTGTTACTCAGCTGCTGAATAAATAACTGGCCAGGAAAAAGTTCCTCAATCCAAGCACTGCAGAAAAGATTCTCCCATGGTTTCTCCTCTTACTCCTCTGTCCTAGGGGGAAAGGCGGGATGTGGCTTGATGACCAGAGCAGGCTCCAGGGATGGGGAAGGGCGAGGACAGTTCTTGGGTTGGGTGGAAATGGCCTTTTGGTGAGAAGTGCCCTTTTTTGCATGTCCCCTGAGGCATCATTGGGCAGAGGAGTCATTATCCGCCCCCACCCCACCACACCCAACGCCTTCCAGGGAATGTGCTCCTTTCTTCACCTTGGAACCACTTCGTTCCAAAATTTCCTCCCCCCACTCCACTACATAGACGGCTTTTCTCCTTGGAACTAATCAGCACCGCCACTGTTGATCAAGTCCCCGCCTAGGGGACTGTATCTCAGAGACCTGACAGACAACCGTTTCCTGTGGCAATCCCGGCTCAAGGGAATTGATCCGCGAGAGGGAGTGCTGACAAAGGCGGCTCGAAAAGGAGGGCTTCTCAGGCCACCTTCTCCCACTCCTAGGTCTCAACCAATTTGAGACCTTCCGCGCTGCCGGTCGCAGGCTCCCCTTCTCGGAGCACTTTCAGGGCCACACTTCTTCTTTCCCGCACCTACCGTCGCCTGGATGTCCACTCCCTAATAACCCTCATCGAGCCTGTGCTCTTTTTTCCCCCTTCCCCTGGCCTCGGGGCAGCGGGTAGGAAGGGAGCTGGAGGTAGCCTCTGCTCTGCATCCTGATGCAGTGCTCGGCGCCCATATGGAGCCCCTGCACTGTTTCTCTCCTGGGACTTCCAAAGTCCACTTCCCCCAACGCTTCTTTGCCCGTGCGTTCCCGTGTCGCTCCCAAAACGCTAACATTTGCAATTGAAATGGTTCAGGAAGGCCGCAGGGAGGCTCAAATTTGAAGGGGACAAACTCGGCTTGTTAAAAAAAGATCATAACATGAAAGTCCTCTAAAAGTAGGCTCTGGGCACCCGGACATCGGTGGGGACCAGCTGGTGGCTGAGGGCAAGTCCGGTGCCCAAAGCAGGATCTAGGATCTTCTGGATTTCCTGTGGCCGCAAACTCACCTTTCCACACAAATTAACCAGATGATTGCATTCCTAGGACTCCTCAAGCGGTCTCATCAGCACCACATCCCGGATCTTCGAGGTTCGGCGAGATTCCGCACACCCAGCAGGCTGAGAGGACCCAGCCCCACGCCCCTGACTCTTGTACAGAGTCCCTCCCATCCTCACCTAGTCATTTCTGAACATATCATTGTCCCCTTGCATTGTACTTTCCACTGTACATTGGATATGATCTAGTCTGCCCATCTCGAATTCTTTAGTAAATAAATTCTGTTCAGGTTCCATTTGGTAGGGAGAAGACAGCTTCCTGCATTGCATCAGGTCTGGGTTTGGGCTTTGGGCTCCTTGGCTGGAATTGGGGGAGCTCGTGAATGCTCTGCTCTGAGCTTGTCTGCTGCAAACTTGGGCACGAAGTTAAGATGGGGGCTGGAAGTCTGATGACAGTATTTAGGCTGGAGGGAGACAGGAGTTGGTCTGTTTGGTTTGTAAACTCCACCTATCACCCCTGCTAGGGTCACCTATGCAGGCAGAGGTCCTCTGCCCCTGGTCTTTATTCTCAGCATTGAGACTCCAGTTGCCTTACAAATCTGGAGCTCTTTATTTCTTCTTCCCAGGTTTAGGGTAGGCACAAAGGGAGTTGCAGGCCCGGAGGGGAGGTAGGAGAGAGGAGGAAGAGAATCATTCTCCCCGAAGGCTGGAGAGAACCTCCTTTGGGAATCTCCCTCAGTCCAGAAAAACTGTGCTTTTGGTTTGTTTGTTTGTTTGTTTTGCCTTTCAAGGCTCCCCAGAGACTGAAGCACAAGCAACTGGAAAGGGCCCCGGGGGGTGCGGAACAATCCTCGGAGGCCCCGGAGGGCAGGTGAATGTACACAGGCTAAGTGTTCCCACTCGAGGACAAGAGGCCCTCCAAGTCGGCCCAGTGTTTTTACCTGTTTACTTGCTGAGGTAGCTCAAACTCCAGAGCCTTTTCTCAGCTCCGGAGCCTGCAGGCGGCTCTGGGGTGCCTGCTGTTCCCATTTCCTCACTTTCCCACACAACAGCCCCATGCCCTCTGTTGCGGGAGGGGTGAGACCTAAACGGCAGCAAAGGAGGCAGAAAGAAGACACTTCTGGAAAGTGAGGAGAGGCCTGG